ATCAACCATAGGCATAAGAAAGGACTTCATTTCAAACATCTCTTATGGTTCTGTTGTTGTTTCATGATAAGGAATCTATATTGCTGAAAGCCACAAGAGGTCTAGACACAGAAAACCACTCTGACCCAACTCATGTTTGTTCTCACGCTAGCGAGCAAGGTGCCACAGTAAAACAAGCTGGTTACAATGGAAGGCGCTCAGGTGACCTGAATCAGGGCAGCTTTGCATGCACCTGCCAAGACATACCTCACCAACAGGCACACTTATGTCTCATTCAACTTTATGAGACCAAGCAAGACTCTACAGCCAGGTATCACTGCTAGGTCAGGTCAAAATTTCCTAAGTGCCACAGAAAAGTTGCTCTGAGCACTCTCCACCACTTCCTGCCAGGCTTTATCGAAGCAGTAACCTTACTGTACTTTTGCAGGAGTCCAGCCAGGGCACAACAGAAACGAAAGAGTTAGCATCTCATTTAACAATTTCTTTCTACATACCCAGCCGCAGGTTTCACTCCCCTCAGGGCTAACCAGGCTCAGCATTGCACTCTGGATACCACAGGATCACAGGCGAAACAGAAGCTCCCCACAACTTGCAGATAATTCACACTTGAACTGATTTTGGAGGAGAAAAAAGAGCAGAATCCAGAGCAGCAGATGCCTCTCTGAGTTCCAAAGTGCCTCTATGTCAAGCAAGTAAAAACAAACAAACAACCCTACAAAGTTATCACCAGCACTTCTAAGGAAGCTGTTCCCTCCCAGTTTCTTCTCTCCTACAGACCCAACTCATCTCAGCTGTCATCCATGCAAGCAACTGCCCAGCCACAGCTGGGCAAAATAACGACACCCCTCATTAATTGCTTCTGGATAGCCTTTCCCTTTGGTCTGTATTCATGTCACATTGTTAGGAATTACAGACTGTAAAATAATGCTCATATGCTACATTTGTAGATTGTTTGGACCTTCTCTTACATCTTCCATTTGCTTAGTTTTCAAGCCTCTAATAATGTGTTTTAAACATGATTTTCATGTTTGTTTGTTTGTTTTTCTTTTTTTTTTCTGTTTGTGTTACTTCTTGATGTATTATATTTATGCTAATGCTATAAAGCGAGCAAGAAGTAGAAAGAGCTTTTTGTGAGAAAACCAACCATTACTTCTAACTTTCCATTACCAAAACAAACTGAGATCAGTAAGTTTCAAGTCTTCCTCTGCCACACATGCTTAGTTGCAAAACAGCAAATCTGTGACCACACAGTCTTTATTTTTTACTCAGTGTATCTGTCCATCAGAGGGTTATGAAAAATCCACCTACATCTTCTCAGCATGTGAGCTCCCCCGTGACCTCCGTTCTACCTATCTCAAGTTAGCAATACCTTGCTATGTAAGCACCTCTTCACCTTCTATGTGTTTACTCACACAACAGCCCTTTGAATATGTATGTGCTTATAGCTAGGAAATTACAAGCAGCTACCTGCTCACCAGCAAACAGGAAGCCTGAAGTCTGGAACAAAGCTGAGCTGAGGTTATGCTACAGACAGCGTGGCACCTTAGTCACTAGACCTCTTCTTTCATGCAATATGACTACTGGAAGGGCATGAAATGGCTGAGGGACATTCTGCTAATTTACTTTGGAAAAGGATTAGATAAAAAGAAGAGGCAAAATAGAATTTAATCATTTATCAAAAAGTGAACCTCCTGAAATATGAGTAGTAGGCAAAGCCTTTTACACGGAACTAACTATATTGTTGTGTTTGTTTGTCTATGTTGTTGTTGTTTTTATTATTTTTATACAAGTAATCTTCAGCACAAGTACTGTGCAGAAGGATGTGTGGGTGCTTGTAAGCAGGAGTGATACGGTCAGCCCTTAAGAATGCGTGACAGTTCCGTTATACGAATGTTTCCTACAGTTTATTATATTGCTAAATGTTTATGCTGGATTATCTGTGGTAGATGTCTGCCTCAGCATGGTATTTGATTTTATTCCTTTACTTTTTAGCTTAGGTCAATAACCTCCAAGAACCGTTTGCTCATATCCAAAAGTGTGGACAGGCTTTTATTGGAAAAAGCTGTAGCAGTGATATATTTTAGATCAGGGGGTAAATACATGTCAGCATTTACCTTTCTGTTAATGACATGCTGTGCTGAGTCCCACAAAGGCCTGGTCCAAATTAATCACGGAACAAGACTTTATAAATGTACATCTCATACGTGCACTGCTCTATTCAACGAATCTTTCATCCCAAATGAGCATGCAGGAGTTCCAGAGGCTGAAAGCTCAGGTACAGCCCAGTGCTGCTCCACGTCTTTATTCACAAAAATATGAGTGCAAGCCCAGACCCTAAAGTCCTTGCAAAGGGCAATTATATTTTGAAACAGAAGTATTTCTAAAGACAGATGAATGTATCTGCATAAATTCAAATTCAAAATAACTCTAATCTTACAAGTACGAACAGAATAAAAAAGAGCTGGGCCTGCCATGTCAGAAAAGGGAAGTGGAGTTCGTGTAACAGCCCTTTGTAAATCAGGACAGAGAGGAACAGTTGTTGTATTTAAGTCAGGGGGATTTAGGATTGCTAGAGTTATCATGACAGGAATGCACAGTAAGCCTCTGGGGTTCAGAGGAAAAGTCCAGCAGAAGAGAAATGGCCTAATAAAGAAACCTATAGCTATGACCAATCCAATTTCAAACAACCGCTGAGGAGGGACAAGGAAACTGAGAGTGATAGACAAGTCACTTTAGTCTCTATTCTCTATGAAGTCTAGAAGAAAGAGCTTGGTTTAGAAACCTGTCTGAAAAATCTCTTTGTACTTTATGCTACACCGAGAGATAAAACTGTACACCAGGAAGATCAGAAGGGTGAAGCACTGGGAAAACCAAGCCTGACTTTTGGCTGCCCTATGTGGGTGAATAGCTGTCCTCTGTGGGACCTGAATCCTTGGGTTCCATTTACAGAAGCAGTCCAGGTACAGAGACGGCTCAGAAAATGGGCCAAAGACAGCAGAGCCAGTGACTGAAGAAAGAAGTCCTGGACCAGCCTTTCCGCTTTTCAGCTCTAGCTGTATCAACACCACTACGTAGCAGATGCAGCTACCACGAGGTTCAGCGCTGGAATTACCTGCATACAAAGTAGAAAAAACTCCATTTTCGTAAGTATGTAATATTTCCTTCAGTGTCTGGGAGGCCATATATCAGTCACAGTAAGTCCTTCCAGAAGGGAGAAATTGTAAAGAGGTATTCTAAAGAGAAATTCCAGTTATTCATTCCTCTGGGACATAAGTAAATTAAGCTGTTCTTTGGGAAAAAGCAGATACTATGGGTATGCAAAAAATTACAGCATGGAGAGGTTTCTTCCCACTTGTATTCTGTTGTACACCATTGAGACATGTGAAGTTGCAAACAGTGTTGAGAATGTCCACAGAAACTTATATGGCTGCTCTGGATAAAAACATTTGTTTTGTTCTCTTTGCCCAGCATAGTCATGTGCTCTGACATACCAAGCTCTTACCCTCTAACGGGCAGGAGAATGATCATTGTCCATGACCATGACCAGCAAGACGTGGAGGCTGAAAGAAACCTGTTATGGTCTGACTTTGAAGGTTCTGCTATTCTCTGTCCTCCAAACATTTTCTCATGCTCTCTTTCCCTCACAGCCAAGCTCTTGTCGGCAGTTTAGCTGGAGAACATAGGTACGGGTCAGATTTCAACCTGATAAGTCAGTAATTTTGACCATAATTTTGGAACAGACAAAAGCCATGTCCATGTTTTTGTTTTTTATTTTTTTTTGTTTGTTTTTTATTTTTATTTTTTTCTTTTTGAAGAAAAATAAGTTAAACCTACTGAGAGGTACCATCTAGACATACAAGTTTATCTGTGTATGTTTCTGTAGGCAGTACAGTTTCTACATGGTCTATATACAAAGTCAAAATGTGGTGTAAATAAAGCCACCAGACCTAAAAACTTTTTCCTTTTGTGCTGAAAAGTGAGAAGCAGCACAATAAGCACTTCACATGACTAAACTGGTGTTGATATTAGTTCTTGTGGTAATATAACTGCATAACTGAAAGCCACAAAGAATTCAGCAGCAGAAAGCTATGCGAGCCTGAATATATATTTAAATTATCACGAAAATCAAGTTCATGCCATCAAAGTGATCCTGCTGCAGTTGAAACGTGCTCGGTTATTACAGATCCTTTTTCTTTTTTTTTTTTTTTCATCAGAACAACCTGAGCTCACATTCAGTCACGCAGCGGATGCACACCTAGCATTGCTCATGCACAGGGGGAGCCACTCCCTGGTCACAAAAGCAGGTTATGCTTCAAGACCTACTGAGGCCTCTCTGAGACAAGTTACAAACCTAGGACGCTGGGGGTACAAAGGGTGTACTGCATATTTTGTGGATATCATTCTTCAGCATCCTCACTCATGAGACTGTGGGCCTTGCCATGGTTTCAGATATTATCAGAGAAATATATTTTACTTGCAGAGAGATACTTTGTCAGCAACTTCCTCTGAGTACCAGCCATATTTGGTTTTTAGCCACTAGTGTTTTTTATCTTCATTCTATTTGCTACTTAGGTTTCTCCAAACTGGTGAAATGTTGTCTAGACAAGCTGTAAGAGAAATAAATAGCAGACTTTTCCCTAAGAGATCCAGAAATTGCCTTCACATTTCCCCTACCAAAAATGTCCAGTCGACAAGTTTCAAGACTTAGGTGAACACAAATAGATTTACCTAGGAAACAGCAAACACCTGACTACAGACTCATTATTACTGCTATAACCATCAGTACTTGCCAGCTTGTCCCAGGCTGAGCACCTCTGCACTGGAAAAAGCATCAGCCATGCAAATGAAAAACAGGCTTATACTGTTAGCACTTTGCAGAAAGCTTGGGGAGGCGCTGGTAAAATTTCAGCTTTTTCAGTGCTAAATGGAGAACTTGTCTCTTCCACTAGGTCAGAACAGTAATGCTCTTTGATAGCAAAGATACCAGAAAAGACTCCTACCCCATCTGCTGTGGTGGTTATCAGCCGCAGGTCAGCTCTGTGAGGAAAGGCAGAACCAAGAAGGCACAGGAAGCCCAGCTCCTTAAAAAGGCAGGGGGTGGAAGCTCTCCAGCTTCAAGGATCTGGTCCACCAGAAGCGTGGGGAGTCACAGCACAGAAGTGAAGAGGGAGCAGTTACTCTGCTGAAAATGTACTGACACAAACCACAGTGAACAGAAAACCCGAGACACAGAGGCAAGAGCGGGCTCAAACACTGCTGCAAAAACTGCTCGTGCCTCGTGTGAAGAAACCACGTGTGCAAAGGTTCTTTGGAAAACAGTGCTTGTACATACCAGGTCCAGGGCTCTGTGCCCAGGCTGTTTCTTTCTAACTTTGCCATGGTCTTGGCCAGACACCAGATTACATCAGAGAACAGGTCAGAATCCCAGGTGTTCAAATGAGGCATCAAGATGTAGGAAGGGAAGCAGAAATTGTGGAGGACAGTTGAGGAAGAGTCACATTTCTTTCTGAAATGACATAGGTGAAATGTCTGTTCTGATTCTCATGGGAATATGTGCTGCATTAACCCAATATATTGATAGTAATCACAATGCAGAACCGCTCTTCCAAAGCTAAATGTGCTCCAGGATAATTGGATGGTATGACAGGAAAAACTGGCCAGAGACCCACATCCTCTGGAATTTGGCCATCCTCTTGCTGACATTAACATAACAAACTTTCAGGAAGGAGAAAAGCGGTATGAAAAATAAGTATCAAACTTACAAAACTTATGAACAAAATATCAAACTTTGCAAATATACAATTTTTCTGTAAGTGCCTGAAAAGTGGCTCTAGGGATTGCATCCTTTTGGAATATCTCTTCTGTTCAGTGCTGAATATATTATAAGTTTTTCTGAATATGATATTTATACACAAATAGATGACGTCGCTCACCAATGATTCCTGCTCCCAGCACAGCTGTATGAGAACTCTAAGATCTCATTCAGACGTGTAATTCTGAGAGCTGATGGAAAATTATCTCCTGTTATCATAGAATAATAGAATATCCTGAGTTGAAAGGAACCCACAGAGATCATCAATTCCATCCTGGGTCCACCCAGGACCACCCAAAAATCAGACCATGTGTCTGAGAGCGTTGACCAAACACTTCCTGAACTCCAGCAGCCTTGGTGCTGTGACCATTGCCCTGGGGAGCCTGTCCCAGTGCCCGACCACTTCTAGGTGCAGACCGTTTCCCTAAACCCCAGCCTGACCCTCCCCTGTCCCAGCTCCATGCTGTTCCCTCGGGTCCTGTCACTGTCCCCAGAGAGCAGAGCTCAGTGCCTGCCCTCGTGAGGGAGCTGCAGGCCGCCATGAGGCCTCCCCTCAGTTTCCCCTTCCCTGGGCTGAAGAAATCAAATTATTTCAGCCGCTCCTCATACGTTTTTCCCTCTATTCCCCTCACCATCTTTGTAGCCCTCCTTTGGACACTCTCTAACAGTTTTATGTCATTCTTATGTTGTGGTACTCAGAACTGCATGCAGCGCTCGAGGTGATGCCACACCATTGCAGAGCAGAGTGGGACAATCCCTTCCCTCACCAGCTAGCAGTGCTGTGCCTGATGCACCCCAGGGTAGGGTTGGCCCTCCTGGCTGCCTGTGCACAGTGCTGGTTTATATTCAACATGCTGTCAGCTAGCACTCTCAAATCCCTTTCTGCGAGGCTGCTCCCCAACCTCTCATCCTCCAGTCTGAACACATAGCCCGGGTTGCCCTGTCCCAGGTGCAGAATGCAGCACTTGCTCTTGTATTATCCGTGATTTAGATGCAATACAAGGTTAGGCTAAGGAAATCATGATATAAAAATGCTTCCCATCATCAAGGAAGATTACAGTATCAGTAAAAAGATATTTTTCTAATGTTCAGATGAGCAAGACAGACATAAGGTTATGAGGTATCTATCAGGGTTTGCAGACGTGCCTTCTTTCAGATTTCTCTCAGTTACGAGATTGCAAGCCTGATAGCACTGTTGGAGTCTGAGTTCCTATTTACAGCAAAGCAAAAGAGCAGAATTTCTCCTACATATTAAATGGAAAAATAACCACTTCTTCCATTTGACCTAATGCTTAAATATATCACTTTCATGGCTATGAGCTGAGCTGGACTAGAAAGACTGAACCACCCTAATCTGTCCAAGAGATGATCCTGCAGTAAGTGTCCCTGTCAGCCCCACACATTACTCTGCCTGGAGGGAAGGACATTTTTGGCATTCTGCTGTGACACACTCCACATTCTGTCAGGCTGCTAGAACATACGAAATAATGCCACAGACAGCAGGCATGAAGAAAGCATGACGGGAAACTGGCAGGGGAAACAGCAAAGATAATTTCCTGTGAGAAATGAGGTATGTCAGCTTCTTCACCCAGTAAGTGCTGTGCAGCACCAGGGGTGGACTGCAGTAGTCAGATAATATGTTCTGCAATGTTACTCCTTCCTTCCCCCATGGGATTGACTTCATACCTACCTGACGTTGCAGGGTTGAAGGCCAACACAGAACAGTACTGTTGGATGTGGGCAGAAAATACCTCAACCATTTCTCACTCTCTTCTTCATGACCTGTTTTATTTCTTCTCCTTTCCCAAAAGAATATATTAAGGAATTTGATAATTATCTCAATATGTTGTATTTCCTTCCATTTTTTAAGGGAACAGTGGGAAACAAGATACCTGGTATACTGAACAACCCCTTTCCCTACAATAGAGAGTTCAGAAATATGGCACTGAATGTTGTCATTCGATCAGACTTCCCGGGAATCCTGGAAATGTTGCTCTAAAGAGAAACCACCAACTCTATTGGATGACTAGGAGAAGGAAGTTGAGGAGAAATTGTTAACTAGATTTTAACCTCATTCAAGGCTACTAATGGATTATGTTTACTATTGTCATTTGAGGATAAAATAAATATGAAAATGTTGAAATATATACCAAGTATATTTCTTGACATACAGATTGCTATGGAGTATGATATTCAGAACATATTGAAATAATAACAATAAATCACCATAAGGGGAGAGAGATACAGTTTTATCTCTGTTGAGGCAAGGGAGTGTTCACTATATTGCCAAGATTAAAAAATAACACTCCACAAAGTAGATATCTGCACATTCAAGGAAATAAAATCATGATTATTTTAAATTAGGGCAATTGGTCACGTCACCTTCTGAAGAATGAGAAGAGACTGAGGAAGTCAGGAAGAAATTCTGTCTGCCACTATACTGTGGGATCCCTGTGCAGGCTGAGGACAAGGAATTTAAAGAGGACAAGGAATTTAAAGGGCAGAGGTGTCACAGAGCAGCAAGAGTCAGCTGCTCCCCAAGGGAAACAGAAGGACAGTGAGGCTGGCAGAGCAAAAGCCAGGACCCGTCCCATAAGATAAGATGAGATCAAGGTAACTGGGGTCAGACACAGCGCAGACACAGCCCAGTAGGCATTACACATATTCACAGTGACAAGACAGGTCAAGATGGGAAATCAGCCCATAGCGAGGCATGACCAAGTTAGAGATTGGCATTCCTGCACCACAGCTCAAGCAGGAAGCAAATGCCCCTACCGGGGTTTGAATGGGGCTCCTGGGCCTATGGGCAGAGAGTGGAATTGGAGGCTCAGGTGAGGCCTGACCAACAGTGCAAAAGGACCTCCTTGCTGGCATGGCTTCAGCAATGGGGGACTGTCCAGTGCCAAATCTGCAGGATGAAGTTGCAAATATTCACAATGCAGACGGTTTAACTACGGAAAAATAAGTAGGGCCTGCCTAATCTTCACTTACTACTATCTGTCTTCCATCAGAAGGCTGGACAGCCCTTGCTAATTTTTACTACATGTGATATTTCCACTCATGCATACTAACTTTTTCCTATTAAGTAATTCGCTTAACATCTGTGCATCTGAAGGTTATCTTAAACTGCATCAAGAAGAATTTGTTCATTTCATATGTTGCTGATAGTGTCATCAAAATGGAACATGTTATGAGACAGGACAAGCACAAACAACCCTCTAAACTAATGAATCTCAAGTTTTGCAAGGGGGTAGCCCACTACACCCAGACAAATACAGAATTATGGAACTTCTATGAAACTTCTATGAACACAATGTCACAGTAAAAGATGAGCCTCAGAGATGGACTTGAAAACCACATGGGTTTTCAATGTATGTGTATGAGAGAATCTTTGCAAGAGAGAGAAGAATGTGTGGGAAGAACTTGAATGTGAAATGTTGAGAGCCCATGAAAAGCACTGTAAGATTATGTGTAAAATAGGTATTGGTACGGCTTTTCCACCTGCTCACTTTCTGTGATGTATCAGCAGCCCACTGTGCACCATTTGAAGAGCTTCACTGCCTACTTATCGTAACTTCATGCATTTTACTCCAGACAAATAGCTTTGGTTCTTTTCAGGATTGCTGGACTGAGTAGAGCAAGAAATTATAGACAGGGAGACAAATCTAGCATCAGGATCGTTCATATTCACTGTCACATGGGCTACAAATCACCTGAGTAAGCAAATCCCTTACTATTCCACAGAACTGGGAAAACACATGGCCCATTTGTACACGCTGCATTGAGAGCCACTGCAAACTTAGTCTACTGTCGTCTGTTAGAACAGGGAGTTAAATCACAGCTTTCAAGTACTTCCAAGGTAATACAAGTACATCATTACAGGGAACTCAGTTCTGCTTATTTCATGTTTCGTGCCATGGGAGCAAGCAGCAATTTTCATCATATTAATTTTAGTTTTCCATTTAATGAGGATTTTTTTTTCCTGTTTATCTTGTTGTCAAATATATCGAAGAATGACATTACATTTCTTAGACAAAGACAAACCTTTGCAGGAGTCTTAAATGCAGCAGTCTAAATTAAATAAAACTTTTTGATTGAAATATTTTTAGATAAACCTAAAATAATGATGACCAATCATTATGCTATACCTGTTCAAGTAATTACATTCAGTAAAAAATCATACAGTAGTGCAGACTTTTTCTCCTAAAGTTTCACAGAAAGTAGACCTTCAAAAATACTTTTAAAAATACAAATCCCACTCCACTGAGCAAACTAAATATTTTACTTTGGGCTGAATAACATGTTTCATTCCATCCTAAAATGTATTTCTGAAAGAGAGAAGTATCATCTTGTTTGATCACAAGGTGAAAATGAAAGCGCAATAAGAGTGTTTTCTGTATCTTTAATCTATTGAAGTTACCCACAGGTCAAATGCACATTATCAAAATTGTCTAGTCTTACAGACTGGACGATGAGAAAAACAAATAGGACTATCTGACACTATGTTTTGAGACATCTGGGAAAAAGATAAAACAACAATTCAGCTCACTGTGAATTCTAAATAAACTTGTGGGGTAGAACGGAGAAAAACAGTTTTCTCCATAGGAAGGACATATAACTACCAATCTTTTAGATCTTACTGCCAAAGTAGCTGAAAGAGTAGGGTGGAATATAAGTAGATACAGCGGTAGAACCATGCAACACATATGAGGTATTCCTTGTAAAGTCACTTCTAGTCTTTCAGTATTTTTGGTGAAACAGGACCTTGTGACATGTTTACGATACAGAAACCAAGCCAGGGAGAAAAGAAGGCTGGTAGGTTTGCAGAAGAATTATTCTCACAGGTGGTATGGATGGCCAACTCTATCAGGTAAAAAGTCCATGCTGAATGTGGATAGCAATGCAGGAAATCTTAGTTACTTCAGCTCTCTGATGGATAGTTATTTTCAAAGTAGTCACGTGATTAGAGTTCTCAGATAAGTATTTTTACACATAAAGACAATACCAGTGAAAAATCTGGGATATTTGTAGGGTGCAGAACCTGGGCTGAACTCCACATTGCAGTGTTCTCCATTGCCTTTTTTAGTTTGTTCTGAACATTAACAAGATCCTTCTGGATTTAGATGTAGATTTGGATTCTCCCAGAAATCAAACATTAATCTATGCTAAAAAGCCTCTGCCATTCAAGGCATTAACTGTATATGCCATTTTGTATTCTAGACAGTAGTATTGAACCAAGTCACTGCAGAGAGAATTAGGAAACTTCAGCTATTCTAAATAATGATGTAATGATGCATCCCAACCTACCTTGAAAACAAGCAGAATATTTAATCACAGAAGATTTAATCTAAAGTTGTACTCACTTTAAGCAGTGATTTGAATCACAACAATATATCAACAAAATGATTTTTGGGGAAGAAAACTGCTGTACTTCTGCTGCACACCTACTGACAAAAGCAACACATTAATTAGTAAGTTGCTGTTAAAATTTATAGCTTTATCAGGGTAAACAGCGGCTCTTTTCAGAGTTTCGGGCATAATTTGCCATCATAATCAAAGAGCACAAGGTTTCAAAAACAATCCAAAAGTGGGAAGCTAAATACCATCCTTTTGTCTCATCAAAACTGAAGTTGCAGGATTTCCTGGATTTTAGTGTTGTTTCATTCTACGTAAGGATTTCAGCATTTTCATCCTAAATAGCTGCAGCAGCAGTTTCTAAAGAAAGAACAGAGCTGTGTGTGAAAACATGTCATTGCTAGTGCACAAATTACTATTTCTGAGCTTTTAACCCACTGCTTCTTTCTTGTTGCTGCTCTGACAAGCTTGCCCAGCACTGGAGAGATGCAAATATCAAGTCACAACTTATATTCACCAGTATGTAGTTTAGAAAATCTGAGCGGATTAAAACATAAAAAGCCAATTTTATTGTAACTACCAGAATTTTTCCATCTTGTTCTTTTCTTCACTGGAAGTGTTGTCAGTATTGCCAAGTTCCCAAATTAAATGATGTTTATAGTACTTCTCAGCTTCTGGAATCACACAGTTGTTTAGAATGTCATATTCTAGCCATTATTGTTACAGAGCAAAAACGCCTAAGCAAATGCATTTCTTTTGTAGTCATATGATTTGTGGCCAGCGGGTTGAGAAATGATTTTTTAGTCTTCAGGACTGGCAGAACTTTCTCTTTCAGATTCATACAGATGATGTACCCCTTGTGCTCTTAGCCCTATATTGCTAACAGCCGTAGGCTGTTATTTCCTCATGCCAGACAAGCCTTGTTTGTTCCTGTCTAAGGCGCAGGGCTGATTCCTAGTATATATCTGTATTGGAAAAAAATGATTAACTATTTAGTTTAGCAAGTCTGCTTGCATAAAAGAAGCCCTCTTGTTGTTGATTTCCAGTACATGCATTCACATCACTACATAAGCATTATATGCATACAACACACGTAGCCTGGGGAGTTGAGCTTCTCTGCTGACACAAGCCATTTTAAAAATTCACTTCTAAAAAGAAAAGAACCAGAATTAACCAGTGCCAAAGCTGGAAGAGTCATCTTTACTTCCTGCCTGTCCGATCCTCCCAGATTAAGTCTCCTCCCTGTCTTAGAAAGTGTAAAGAACTGCACATCGAAATCAGGAAATTCCATCCTACAAACACTGAGATTGATGGAAATTATTTTTCCATCAGGAAAATACATAAATAAACTAGTCTTTCCGGAGCTACAACAGACACTCATTTAGATTCTACACATCTTAATTAAACCAATTATAACTGAATTATTGTATGCCTAACACAACGGTTGTGGATTAGACTTGGCTAACTAATAAATTCTCACCCAGCTGCTCACTTAGTCCCCTCAGCCTATGTGGGACAGGGGGAGAAACTGGGAGAACAAGAATGAGAAATCTCATGGGTCAAGATAGATACAAAGTGACTGCATACCAATTACCATTGTGGGCAAAACAGGCTCAACTTGGGCAAAAATAATTTATTATCAATTAAAAGAACCATTTAATTACTTATTTGTGTAGTGGGAAACAAGAAGACAGACATTCAAAGAACAACTTTCCTCCCCACTTTCCTGTGCCCAACTTCTTTCCCAATGCCTCTGCCTCCCCCAGAGGCCCAGGGGGATGTGAGGGTACTGATGGTACCCAGAAATTCCTCTCTGCTGCATTTTGGACCCAGCTGGAACTGGCTGTGTACGGCACAGGAAAGCCCCCAGCCTCTTCTCCCGGAGGCCACCCCTGTAGCACCCCCACTACCAAAAAATTTGAGGGAACTCCTCAAATGCTAAATGTTTTTCAACCAGATGACAATTTTAAGTATGAAGTATAAATTGTGTCCTTTTTCTGAAAGAGTAGGTGACACAGGAGCTGATCACATTAGAGGCAAAAGAAGGCACAGACATTATCTGCATAATACTTCTGACTATTATCTGAATAATGTAAGATTTCCAGACCTCCCAGATCTGTGGCTGACGACTGAATGTGAAGATACTAATTTCAGCATGACCTGGATCACAGCATAGAATCCTTTGCTAGAAAAATCCTACTTCATGGAATAACATTTTCTTCAGAAAGTAAGATGTACTCTGCTGGAACAGAGACAATGGCTACTGTCCCGTTTCAGTTTCTAGAGGGTTACTTTTACCAGCACCCTTGAGAAAGAGATACCCAGAGATGAGGTGAGGAAAAGCATGGGACAAGATTCAGTGATAACATCCTAATTCAGGTCTTTCATAGCCTTGAGGAAATCATGCGTTTCTTATTATTTTTCAATTCAGTCTTCCTTTCCCACTATAGCTCTTTGTCTTTCACTGGAAAAATGAAGAATAGTGCAGGGTAAAAACCTAAAGCTGATAACACATAACTTCCCTTAATTATTTACAGATTAGGTTCATCACTGCTATACAATTTACTAGGGTGTTAAAGCGGAGTGAATAGGTATGAATAAAGGGTGTTTCAAATGTCACATGAAGCCTGTTCTTCATCTCAGTAGAGGTACTGCTAGTTCTCATTCTCTTGTGAGAAAACTCAGGCTTCAGTGGAGCACTTTTCTCAGAAGACTGCTAGTTTTTAACCTGATGACATCAAGACATTGTAATCACCACTTCCTATGGTACTTTGTTCAAGCACTTGGTCATGTTCACTGTTAAAAACACACGCCTGATTTACAGTTTAAATTTGACTTGCTGTAACTTGGTGGGTGTTGCAACTTTTTCATGCAGTCAAAATGTCCTTTTATATATATATATATATATATATATATGCTGTTATAGCTATCTAACTAAAGGTTTAGAGCTTCTAGAAAGGTATTTCTTATTTGAGGATATGGAAGGGTACAAGCCAAGACAGTCTGTCAGTTTAGTTCACAGAGTTTGCTTCAAACCTTAGGCAAAAATCCCACTAAAACTGATAAATTTGTTCCTGTATAGCTTGTAAAGTTCGGCCTTTTCAGGATGAGAAATATCAACGAATGCTCTTGGTTAATTTGATGGTGGTGATCCTATAAAGAAGGGCTTTCTTTCCCATTTTTAGTCCCACCACTCCACCAAATTCCAGAAAGCTGCACTTGATACTGTTGGCAAACAGGCGCGCAGTACAACTATGTCCCGGTTACAGCTATTAGCTGCTGACATTACTGCAGTGTCACAGTACCTACAGTTCTGTCTGGGTGCCCTGCTCTGTGCACTGTGACTCACCGTGTGCTCCACTCTTCCTCTCTTGTCTCTCACCTCACTATCCCTGCTTTGGAATTGGGAGGCCATCTCTCCTTCTCTCTCTTTCATCTCTTTCATTCCAAATGGCAAACCTGAGCCTTGCTAACTCTCTGTGGCAGTAGAGCTGCCTTTGGCAAGCTCTCTTGATGCATCTAGAGGAAGTGCAAGACTGAAAAACAATTGGCACCTTTTGGTCACCTTTCCCCACTTTATCTATGTGGCCACTGATCTCATCTCTCTTACAGACTACAGCATCAAATGAACATGCCGGAATCTACCAGGCCATGGCATTTGGCTCTCTCTTCTATCTGTTGATCTCTGACCTATGTTTTTCTTACTACAACCTCCAACATTATCCCTTCTGCAGCCGGAGGGAGATAGCACATTCCTGCCCTCAGTTTTTCTGTGTTAAGAAGTTAAGAACCTGAATATTGTTCACGCTTAGGGTATGTGGATTTCTAGATTCCAAAACAGGTTTTAATAAAGTGGTTTGCAAATTAAAGAGCAGTAGGAAAACTACCTGTGAGAAATCCAGAAATCGCCTCTTACGTTTTTTTCACCTAAGGAACAGAAAACATCAGGCGTCATTCTCCCCGTGATCACACCTTTAATCAAAGACTCCCCACACTGCAACCACATGACCGTAACATTTACTTTTCATCACTCTGTCCACCATAGGATTACACAGAAACTCATATCCTGCCTGCATGCAGGATTTCCTTAAAAAGATGGCTATCTGGTGACAGCAGCCTCATGTGCCCGAGAGTAAGATTGTCATCATGGCACCCACCACACTTCCCTATGAAACAGGTGACTGTTGCCATCCTTATTTAACAGATGAAAACCAAAGCACAGACAGACTGTGAATCTCAGCAGCTGCACTAAATGAAAAAAAACCCACATCGTAGCGGTTTGACCAACTTGCCCTTCAGACAGGCCTCACCCCTGAAAAACCTCGTAGTTGTAACGGGGGCTCTTATTGTGGCAAAAGGTTGTGGCAGACAAGCAAAACATCTTGCTGTACCAAACCTCTTCAGACAAGAGGCAACTCCACAAGTTCATCAGAGGACTGCAATTTTAGTGACATTGAGGATGAAGCCCTCTGATTCAAACAGGTAATCAGAGAGGGAAAAATGGAAATTGAAGGTGAAGTGAAATGCAGACTGGAAAAAAAAACAAAACACACACAGTTTTTAGAAGGGCAGAAGGATTAGAAGCCACGCTTGGTTAGCTAATAGTCATTATTAGGACTAGAAATTGGTTTCTGTTTCCCTTTATTATGTAAGAATGGCAGGATGCTTGACCACTTCTCATACCAACTTCAAGCTAAGAAAACGAAGTCACTTCCTTCATTGCATAAATGGGCTATGTACCCCTGTACCTACCAGCTATTGCTGAAATACGAAAACACCGTGGAAATGTCTCCATATCCTGTTCCTTCCATCAAACCAAGGATTTCAGCACTTTAAGGAATCAGAGAAGTGAAACGTCTTCCTATTGAGAAAGCAGAGCCTTAATTACTTATTTCAGTGCAACGTCTTGCAAGATTTTCCTCCCGACCGAAGCAAAGAAGGGCTGACTCCAACACTTTGGAACTCCAGCACGGAGGGGAGCTAGGGCTCATCTGCAAGTTCCCACTCCTTCCCTCTCACCAAACATCTGTCTCAGCTCATCCGGTGCTCTGAGTCACTTCCTCCCCACTTTTCATCATACGCCCTCAGCGCACTTCTCCAAGTAAGCCCAGTCTTTTTTGCACAATCTGGAGCATGGTTCAAGGGAAGCCTTGCTGGGAGGCAGGCTGGCCCATAAACACGGCGTATCACAGGGTGAAACTCCTGAGTTTTGTGGCCGACGCTGGAGCTCAGAGCAGGCCAACATCACGCATGTTAGTGATGTTAAGGCTGATTTCAAAAGAGCCACACCATTTCATACCAGCAGAAACTGTGCCTTACGCATATGTTAGCGACACCAGAATTAGCTCCCGTAAGCCGACATGCCATCGCATCGTACTGGGTAGAAACATTCATCCCCACAGGGCAGCAGTTAGGTGCACAAACAGGCTGCTGTGCCCCGGCTAGGTGCTGTGCTGTTCTGAGCGTCCCACTGCCATTTCTGAAGCTAGCTCCAAGCCAGCTCGGGGAGCTTTGCACTCTCAGCAACTGCACGGCACTGGGCATGGCCTGCAGAAGGCTTGAGGCAGGAATCCAAGGAGGCACGGGGAGCAGAATTTCAGACTAGGCCGCAGGGAAGTGTTTAGTGCATTTAGCCTCCCACACAACACCCCCACAGGAATACTTTGAAACATGGGTATAATTTTGTTTACCTACACGTGTATAAATGGCGCACAACAGCTCTGAACACAAAGTCAGGTCCTCCTGTTTCCGTCTTGCTATTAAATGCAAGCTTCCCTGAAGGGAGAGGGACGCTGGCAATGTGGGCTTCACCTCAGGCTTACCTACCCTCCAGCAGGAGGTAGGTGAAAGAAACCGTGTTCTCATCAGGACTTTCAGGTGTGTGGGTGTTTCCAGGAATAAACAACACTCAACCACAGAACAACCAGGAAGCGGCTTTATAAGCATATCAGTGTCACTTTAGTGCTGCAAAGTTTATAAATGGTATCTCCAGAGCCAGCCTACCACATTGTGCCATTCTGCTAAGGGACTTGCCATGTGACGGGCTAGGAAATGTCCACTGCGCCCCGTCCTTCACGGCATGCTGAAAGCAAGAGCTGAAATTACAGAGCCTGCGATTGCAAGCATTCAATCATATTTTGGGCAGGCCTGTCAGTCATATGCCAGGTAGACTGGATGAACTCTATTAAAGTTCTGAAGTGAAACAGTAGGAGGAACAGCCAGTCACAGTAAAGTGCGTTTGCAAGGTAGATGTAGGAGAAGTTTTGCATCTGCCCACACAAGAAGTGAGGCTATCCAATACTTTTGCTTTCTCTATCACGTACCTCCATATGCAAAATTAGTGTATTTTGTTACAAAGGATGCAAATAAAACTTATGATTTTTTTTTTCCTTCATTGTTAATGTATCAAGTTCTCGTCTCTAAGAACATCGCAAGGCAGGAAATTCACTTACAAGTGTGACGCACAATGCTATTTCTGGAAGAATTCAAGTGTTTTCAATGCCCTATACATCGGGCAAGACCGTTACATAATGTAATCCAGCCTTAATTCCACTTACCTGCCAAATTCCCAGACCAGATCATTTTATTTCATTACTAGGGTGTGCACTTACTCTGCGAGTAAAACACATCTCTCAGTTGCACAGACACTTTCCACAACACTTTTCCAGAACCATTCTCAGCTCCAGATATCACTGGATTTTCTTACATATGTGCAGCCTGTTGTGCTATGTGTATGGTCCCAAGACTTAGGGTCCTCAGCTGACACAGAAGGTGACACAGCAGGGAGAATTCTCTTGTGGACAAAATCGTGGCAGCTCTGTGAGAAGTCAACAGACTCAATCCAGGTTATGAGTTTATATCAGCTGAGGTTCCAGCACACTGGTATTTATGTCATCACTGGAAATGAAGTTCCTGGAAAAAAAAATCTTCTGTCTGCACCTTGGTAGTTAAAACCCAGCTCTGCACTCCTGCACTTCTTATTGAACAAGTTATTAGCATGGAATCTGCTGTCAGCAAGGACTTTAAGGCTGAGTAAAACCACTTCAAACAGAGCAGATCACAGACTGTGCCTTTGTCAAATAATATCTGATGACATTATGATAATTAACATAAAATGGGTCTGCAATCACCCACACTGAAAACCACAGGCAAAGCCCAGATCTGTGCTCTCTGTACACAAAAGACAGGGAAAGTTCAGACTCCAGAAAGACTGCAATGGCTTTGGGTTTTCTCTGCTGCTGTGTAGAAATGTGCACTCACTGGAAGTGCCTTTAATTGCACCTTGTTGGCAACTTCTTCTTTTTCAACTATGTCTCAGGCTTCAGACTCAGCTCTCACAATCAGTTTATCCCTCTCTTTCTCCTCGTTTCCATCAAATGCACACCACATTTCTGACTGATGCAGCCAGCAAACCCCTACACCTTTCTCCTGTCTCCACGCATTATTTCTCCTCTGTCACAGTCTGGCCTTTCTCAGGGTCAGTTCCTCTGTTATGGGATCCCGGTTCCCACTGTGTAACTAAGAGGACAGGAAGAAGAAATAAAGATTCACCACTTCTTGTGGTAAATTTATGTTTTCAGTAATGTCCTGCCACAGACTGCGTGTCTCGCTTCCTAAATTCCAGTGTCTGTAGTAGTACTTTCAAAAAGGTAAAAAGAGGCACGGTGGTAGTACTTCCCATTCTCAGGCATCCTCAGGTTTCTGTCCTACCTTCTTACATGAGCCTCCAGCTTTTTTCTGGACACCCAAGCTTCAAGTCGAAAGTTGCTCACAAGGCTTCTTAATAACGTCTTAAATGACATTTGCCTAGCAAAAGAATCCAGCTGTCCAGTTTCTGGTTCTGAAGGAATCCCTGTAGGAATGTCAGACACCCATAATTCTGACGACTTAAAGTAGCATTTTTATTATTAACATAGCTAACTCTCTTCTTAAATCTCTTCTACCTCGTTGCATTGTTCGTTTTTCAAGTCTCTCATTTCATTCAGCAATCATCCAGTCTGCCAATTTACATCCAGTCTGCACATTTACACCAGCTTAGTTTCATTTGGCCTTTGCATCAACTTTGAGCACCATTTCTTACACATCCAAGGCCTCATACTGCTTACACGTTGCCTAATTCTTTCCTTTACACAAACACTTCTTCCTCCCCGTGTCCTTGTCTAAAATATACCTGTTATCTATTCACATGCATCACTAATTCCTAGATCAACGGTAATTACTCAAAATATAAACCAGAGTGTTACTGTGGATAGCACATTGAAAACCTCAGAAAACTGCTGAGAAGCATCAAAACATTAAACTGAGCTTCAAAATTAAGTGGGACAAAAGTACAGTACTCCTCACCACACAAAACTGCAGTCAATAATAAGACTCTAGGACCAAGAAGATTAAATTTCTTTCTGCCTTGCCTGATTTTCTTTACATGTTCCTTATCAGTCTTTTTACTTATTTACTTAAGACCTTAATTCATAGTCCTTTGCTCCAGTGAACATTAATGCAGACCGTTTTTGAACACTAGTCTGACCCAACAAAATTACCAGACCATCAGACTACTGTCATCACTGCAGCCTGACAATGTCCGAATGTGCTGGGCTGTCCAAGCTCCTGAACACCTCAATTTCTTGTTGATTTTTGTTGATCTGTCTTTTCTGTCTTTACTGTTTTTGTCTCTGTCCTTGGTGGTAATCATTCTGATTTGTAGATTTTCAACAGCTGAAACCTTCTCTACTGCTGGCCCACAGAATTGTGCCAGGGAAGAGCTGTGGCTTAAGAAAGGAAAAGAAAGCTCTGAATCTGAAGATTAAAGTGAGGAAGTGGAGAGACAGGTACGGTGCTAACAACAACAACAACAAAAAACTAACAACAAAAAACTAACAACAAAACCCAAAAACCGCAGTATCCTGAAGAAAAAAAAATTAATTGAAAGATGTGGGCCAGCTTGATTTCCTATGATTTCTGCTGAAAAGTATGTAAAAGAGTATTTCTTTTCTCTCACTCAGTCTCTCCTCCAAGGGCCTGGGGGTCTGGAAAGCTTTGTTGTTCAAGGTGGAAACAAAGCTTCTGAAGGGAGAAATCATTAAGACAGGAGGAAGGATTTTTCTTTGAGGTAGTGACAAAGAAGTGCTGAAGACGCAGAATAGCAGCAGTGGCAAGGATGAAGAAAAAGTTTCTCTCTAGCACCACAAAATGAAGATTTTCTGTTTGATATTAAAGTCAGGCTTAAATGATCTCCTCCACTGCTACCCCATCTGAGCTGTGCTGCAGGGTTTATCTTCACTCATCAGCCTCCTGAGGAGAGCCAATGAACGGAAGGCAGAGCTGTTCAGTCTGTTTCCTCAGCGTTCGCCCAGGCTCTCAGCACAGGAAGCCTCCTGCTCTCAAAGGCAGAAGGAGGAACCTCTCCAGCTTTGAGGAGCCAGGCAGTCAGGAGAGGAGTGGGGAAGGTTGGGGGAAGAGAAAACGCTCGCCTGGGCTGCTGAGGATGCGCTGGCAGGCAAGAAATATGCCCCATGACCACAGCTAGGTTGGCGGTGGGACGGATGGAGTGACGGAGCTGCCTGAGCCATGAAAAAAGGAGCTGACATGAAGATTGCTGGAAAGGCTGCGTGTATTTTCGTGCTGCTCACCATCACCAAGCTCACAAGAATAACGGGTGAGTCTAACTGTTCTCTGGGACTGCTCAGCTGTCAGGGTGGAAGAAATGGAAACGTGCACAGATCTTTTCTCCCCATAAGGGCTATGTGTCATGTTATGACTTTCTTTAGTTGTTAAAAATTACGGAGCACAATCAAAACATGCTTCCCAAATATCTGCTCCTGCTTTTCTTTTCTCAGATGGTCACAAGGCTGCCAGTCATTATCCCTGTGGACTTCTATACAGGCAATTATTTAGTGACTCAGTGGCTATAACGTACCGCTAGTCACAGACAGCCTATTTACTAAGACCACTAAATCCACATCCTCTGAGAAACTGATCCATTTGATCTATTAAAAATATGCCCAGGAAAGTGTTTGTGAACGTGAAGCTTTTGGCCATGAGGTTTCTGCTGAGGAGAGGTGGTAGACACTACGAAACAGGGCAGGGATCTCGTGTCTTTCTTAGGAGCGGTGGAAGATCACTGGTGTGCTGACAGCCGGGAGCAGTTTCTGCAATTTCATTCTGAGGCTAACGGGAATGATTGCTATCAAGCATGGTCAGGGCTTTGGTGTCAAAGATAGTGACATTCTGACTCTGTCTGTTAGTGTAGTTGGCTTAGTTTTAATATATTCTAGCTATGACAGCTAATGTCTCCTAGGTTTATTTCATTTGCATTTCTAGAGCTTGTGCTCTTTCAGATGCCATGCGGTGGTCCAGGGACTTGCTCATGTAATTAGGGATTTGAGCAGCAGTCCCAGAAACCTAAACTGCCAGCTAGGGACATCTCTGAATAACATGTAACATGCTTATGTCCATTACTATTATGGACAAGTAGGATTAAGCTGCATGGACATGAAATATTTAATTCCACTTGGACAGAAAAGAAGATACTATCCTTAAAGATATTAAAATATACACATATTTTTAAGTAAAATGGATACAGTTATTGTCGTCAGTGACGGAACACCTGCCTGTAGTGTGTTTGGCAGATCAAATGAGATCAAAATGATAACCTCAGTGTCACACATTGAAAAAAAAAATGAAATCTTCACACACTTTTACTAAACTCTGCATTAGTAGACTCACAACAGGCACACTAGAGGTTAAAGACAAACAAACAAACAAAAAAAAACATTCCCTTCCCTTGTCCCCATTCTTCCAGTAAAGAAATTATCTCAGAAAAATACCAAGGAACTGTCTCACGGTAATACACACAGGTTATGGTAGCATCAGAGACAGTCTATGCTTTTGAGTACAGCTGCTCAAAAAGTAAAGGAGCATGGACATGTCACAAACTGTTGAAGAAAATGGGGGAGACAAAGGAGAATCCTACGGGCAAAATTTCTTTTTAAAGTGGGACTTTGCTGGAAATATATATAAAAAAAAATCTAATGCCAAAAAAAGTTCTCTTTTTCATCCAGAAGACAATTAGATTTCAACCTTTTGGTGTCTTGAATCAATGATATTCCCCTTCAAAGAACACACAAAAAAGATGCGTTAAAATCTAACTTCATGTTTGAACCTCCCCCCTCCGAAACAAACAGCACACTTTTGATGGGAAGATCTTTGCTAAGGCTGTTTTTAAACATGTTTCCTTCAATATTATTGTGATGATTCTCAGCAAGGTGTAGTGACGAGGTTTTTCCCTTAGAGATCACAGGCCAGATGTGTTAAGATGATCTAGTGTGTGTTCTCTATCCAGAGAAGTTTAACGTTGTATGAAGCTCGAAGGAACTATGCTCCCCTTCTGAAGACCAGAGCAAGCTACCCTGAATGAAATAAGGTCATGCAAAAACTCTTATGCATAACCAGGCTTTACCTGTGTTAATGTTTTCCTTAACGTATCTTTAATATGTTGCCTTATATGCCTTGGTCAGCTTTTACAGCTGAGGAAGGGGCAGCAACTTCATGATTGTTGTGTCTAGATCCGTCCCCAAGCAGGGCTGGGCAGTATGCTATGGAAGCTGCTGGTGCACGATCTGTACTACCAACCCTTCTATAAGAATCCTCATAGGAGGATTTGTTTAACTAAACAAATAAGACACCTTGTGGTTGTGTGAGTACTCCAAAGGAAAAGGGATAAGGGAGGGCAAGTTTTTCTATAGGAGGTTCATACAATTAAACTCTTTTTATCGGAGTAACATTTGCAATGTTCAGCTGTGTAAGTCCTGGATCTGTAGTACTAGCCTGTGACAACAGATATGACAGTGTGCTTCAGTGCAAGCACAAAGAAATCTGATGTCAATAATGAGATGTGATTCTCTATGTTAGCTCAATTTTACGAAGAGTAAAAAACTGAAAACAATGGCATTGCCTCAGTGCAGAAAGTAGAGTGTACGAGGTGCATAACAGTGAATTAAAACTTCAGAGCCACCTGTCTATAGTACAAGTTCACCCAGATACCTAACTTTCTTGAATGCAACTGCTTTCACTTAGCTTCTTCCCTTAAAAAAAACAAACAAACAAACAAACAAAAACTTTTAAATTCTCCTTCACTAGTGTTAGTAGACTAGCGTGTTTTACTGCCTTCTCATTTCCACTGTCTTTGGCTGTTTCAGTGCTCTTGTCTCTGTTGCCTCCTATTCTAGTTTACTCTGCAATCTTGCTCCTGATACAAAAATCATAGGCTAAAAACCAATTCTGATAAATATACGTTTGTCTCAATTTCACTATTGCTCTGCTGCTCCTTTGGTTCTATGTGCTAGAATTATTTTGTCTTCTTTTACACTAAAAACACATTTTCCATCACAACAGCCTTTTTTTTCTTACACAAACACTTAAAACAGAACTCCATACTATTAAATTAAACAAAAAAAATTCTCAGAAGTCATCTAAATTGCCCTAATACAATCTTCAAAGCATGTTCATGTGACATAACATTTTACTTTGATATGGTCCAAGCACAATGTCTAAAGGTGTCTAGTTTCAAAACCCCAGAAACGGAGGAGTTCGGTTTTGCAAGTACACCGCACACTCTATGACTATAAAGCAGCTTTTCTTTAATTGGTAATGCACTTACAGATGTACATTCTACTTAATACTCGCAGCTGATATATTTTGTACACAGAGGTACAATCTTTCAGAAGAATAAAGCGTAGGGAATCTTCTTATGCTGCCTTATCTTTGTATCGCGTAGGAAAAGGCTAGAAAAAAAATTACAATGCTAAAGCCGAACACTAAGCAAGGTGTGACTGCGATTCTAACTATAGAAAAGTGAAGTCATTAGTGTGTTTTCACAGCAGTCCCTTATCTGCTCTCTGGAAAGTATGAAGAAGAGGGCATACAACCCACCTTTTGCAGTCAATGCTCTATTTTTGTTTGGAATAACAGGAAAATGCCACTTAAGCGTAAATAAACAATATTATTATCTACTCACCCTGCATGCAGAGGTTGCTCTAGCAAGTTCTAAGTTAACAGCCAGGGTCATATAAAATACAACAGCTTGTTAAGTTCAGTGATGATTTATTTTCGGTGGAGGGTTTGAGCAAAGGTGTTAATTCTGCAAACTAGATGATTCCAACACATCACTCAAACATTAACACGGCCAATAGAGCAGCATACCTATCCTTTTTTCTACAAAGCCATGTTTTTTATTGAGACATAGCCCTTTTGCTCAAATACAGCCTCAAGAAAAGACCTCTAAATCACTGCATCAAATCATTTATGCAGGCATTCTATCATGAAATGCTTCTCAATTTATTGTAATAACTATTTTCATTGTTATTATATTTTGAGCTGACGGATTTTAATGATTTCTTCTTCTGTGACATCTCCCTTCTTTATATTAATACTACCATATGCTTTCTGCCTTCAACAAATTTCCTCACACACTCCTGATACAAATGCCAACACCGTTATTAAGAATGCTAAACAGAATTTGTATAAAATTTGTCTGCTGAGAAACATCATCAGCAAGCTACCTTCAACCTGACACTTCCTTTCAACTCTGCCTTTTGCTTTCTCTCCTTGATACAGTTTTTACCCATCATACTTCCCTCCAGTTACCCCTCCTTTCTTTGGCTTAATTTACAATTTTTGAGAGGACACTGTATCAAACTTCATCTCCAACTAGGTGAGATTTAATATCATTCCTTTGCCTACAAAAACAACTGTTTTGAGTTACTGCTTGAAAGGACACTGAAGAAAGCTATAGAGCACAAGAAGATCATAGAAACATTAACAACTAGTATTTGGCAACTGCAAAGGTATATTCCGTCTTGAACGTGAAGACTGAAACCTTGAGTTCTTTATGAAGTTCTGCCAGTGTGCTCAGCTCTC